GTACTGAATTGGTCCTGAACTCCTGATCCTCCGGCCTCTCCCTCTCATGTCAAACCTTTGAGGATGGTTCTTGATGTACTCTGGGGAGGAAATTTGATCTTTCTGGTTTAGATTTCTGGGATTTCATTTTTTTAAAAAAATATACAAGACCAGCCTGGTCTACAGAGAGAGTTCCAGGACAACCAAGGTTACCCAGAGAAACCCTGTCTTGAAAAAAGTAATGTACAAAGAAAAGAAGTTTACTTAGTTATCAGTTTTTGAGATTCAAAGGCATGATTCTGTGCCTGCTGAACTCTGGTGCTGACTGCGTGGGAGATGGGCTCACAACTGTGGGGTTATATACATGGGACAGAGATCATATGACCAGAGAGAAGCCAGAAGGGGACTCAGGGGTTGCACTTGCTGTTGTAATAGTTCTCTTGGAAGGACTAACTCAATATCCCATGTAAGAACCATCTTAATCCCTTCAAGGACAGTGCTTTTCAGACGTCCTGTCATCGCTAAAATTGACTGTTAGGTTCAGCTCATCATGTGTTCTCATTCTGGCTGAACAATTGGCTTCTCTAATGCCAATTATAAAATATTTGTAATTATTGACATTTCTCTCTCTTACTTGTGACTCTGTATAGAACTAGGAACAGGTAGAGGAGGAAAACATCTGAGAGTAAGTATGGTTATCATAAAAGGCTGGACTTCCGGAGAGTTATTTTTATACTTGAAATAGTAATTTATTGACTTGCAAAGCTGACACACCTCACACTTCCTGTAACTGTACAATGTCTAGTCAGAAAGTAGCTGACCTTGACCTCAGTCTCTGAGGCACCCCTCATTGGCACTCATCCTTTGCCCCTGGATAGAAGTTACCCTTGGTGCTAGAGAATAGACCAGCTCTGTCTGAGTAAGCGGAGAGTAAACAATGTCCCAGCATTCCACAGTTACATGTAATTTCCCTAGCATCTCCTCAGTAGAGCTATGCAGGAACTTGAGATGGATGGAAAACAGAGGAGGTAGACGGCTAAGTGGGGCAGGTACGTTAGAAGCCGAAGGGTGGCAGAACAAAGGAGCTTGCATTAACCAGCTGCTGTCACTATAGCAGTTCCTGAGCTAATCAGCTTGTTAAGAGAAGAGGTATATTTCATTCACTGATCTGGAGGGGTTTGTCCGTCTGTTTGTTTTTTGGGGGCAGGGCCTCTCATGCATCCCTGACTGGCCTGGAACTCACAATAACCCACCTGCCCCAACCTCCCAAGTGCTGAGTTTAAAGGCATATGTCACCATACCAGACTATTTCAGAGGGTTTCTGTCTATGCCTGTTTGGCCTCATTGCTTTTGTGACATTGGCAAGGCAGCACACTATGGCCATAGCTTGTGACAAATTGTTTTCTTCATGGTCAGAAGGTAAAAGAAAAAAAAAGGAGGAGGGGGAGGGAAAGAAGGAGTAAGGATTGGAGGAGGAGGGAAAAAGAGGGAAAGGAGAGGTGAGGGAGGAGGGCCTGGGATCGCAATGTCTTTCCAAGAACATTCCCTGACGACTGGAAGCCCTCTTAACAGTGCCATCGTCCCAACAGTGCCATGGGCTGGGGACCAAGCACTCAAGACAGGGCGTTTGGGGGACAGTTCTTCAAACAGTAGCAGCGCTGACTCTTTCTCAGACACGTGGCTATGCAGGCAGCTGTAACACTGTTCTGGGCGGGACAGAGAGAAAAGGCATTTGGTCATTATAGGAAGTCACCGATCCTTGGTGTGAACACAGGCTTACGTCGCACGCCCTTCCCCTGAATGTCTCCTCACTCAGTACGTGAAGTGAGTATTCCAAAGCATGTCAATCTGAACAAATAACAACAGGAACAGAGGATAGAGGGAGACAACAGAGGATAGAGGAAAACTCGGAGTTTGTATTATTGATTCATTTATTTAAAAAAGACTTTCCTATTAGGCCAGGCTGGCCATAAGCAGGAGGTCCTCCTGGTCCAGCCTTCTGAGTGTCAGGGATTACAGATATGCACCACTGTGCCTAGCTTTGAGTTTGCATTTACGGGGTTAGATGATTGATGTGCTCAGAACAGGGACTGGGATACCAACAACCCTGGTACCCATCTTCCGGTCCTTATTTCACCCAGAAGACAAGATTTGGGAAGTCATGCTTATTTCCTCAAAACGGAAGCATGCCCTTCTGGAGAGAAAAGAGAAGCTGGTAATAAAGGGTAAAAAAAGACCACAGAAAAACACCCTGCCCCTGAGTAGACCCTAGGACCAGTGCCTGAAATCACACCAATCCCTGAGCTTGCCCCAGAGTCAGGCTGCAGAATCCCACCAATTACTGAGATCCCTGAGCGTGAGATCCCACAAATCCCTGAGCTTGCCCCAAGTCAGGCTGCAGAATTCCACCAATTACTGAGATCCCTGAGCACGAGATCCCACCAATCCCTGAGTTTGCCCCGGAGTCAGGCTGCAGAATTCCACCAATTACTGAGATCCCTGAGCATGAAATCCCACCAATCCCTGAGCTTGACTCAGAATCATACCACAAAAATCCACCAATCCCGAACCACTCTGGGACGTTCTGCGCCCCCACCCCACCCCCAACACTGTCCAAGAAACCCTATATAAACTCTGTACCCTGTTCAGTTTGCTGCTGTTTCTCAGCGGAGGCAGCCGCTCCTGGATTCTTCCTTCCCCATACATCTCTTGAGTGAGGTTTGTTGTGCAGTGTGACGCCTTCACTGGAGCCAGCCCGGCTTTAACAACTTCTGCTGGAGCCAGAGTAGAGTGGAACAGAACTGTTAAGAATTTCGCTGGAGAACTGTAACCACTCCACCGGGAACACCCACTCCTGCCAGAGCAGGGTTGTCACACTGGCATTGGGGAAACCTTTCTCTGGAACAGGGCTGTAAGCTTCGAAACTTACGGTGACTTTGCAGTGCTCCTTGGCTCCCACTGCCAGGATACCCTTCCATTCAAACTGCAATACTTACAGGTAAGACTCAGGAAGTTAAGGAAACTTGCAAGACCGAGGAGACTCAAAACGTTCAGAGATTCACAAGGCTCACACCTAAGGTCATAGGCAGCAGACAATTGCTTTGGAGAGGAGATTCTCTTCGGTGGAACTGCCTGCGAGTTGGGCAGGGAGCTCCATGAGTGTACCTTTAATGAGTTTGTACCCATGCTGTCTAGGCTTTTTGGTGATGTACCTGTCTTTGAGTCACTCTGGCTTTTGTAGGAACCAATGAAGTCCCGGGTTCACAAGTTGCTGTGGAGACTCCTTTAGCCAATAGCCTTTAAGATACTGGCCCAGTCTGGGCATGGTCAAATGTACTATATATACAGATGTAAAAGCATGCCTGGCCCCTTGACTGTTGGATTTGGTTCCCTGCTCACGCAGAGGACTGCTGATCTGTGAGTCTACCCCTAAATAAAGAAACCTTTATCATACTCCATTCTGGGCAAGTGTGGGACTACTTTATTATAATCAAAACCAACAAGTTATACTTAGATAGAATTATTTCTTTTGTCTGTTACCAGTGCTTTGTCTGGGCTGAGTAGATGCTTGTTCACAATTCCCCAGGCATGGGGGAGTCCTATGGCACCACACAGATCCAAGGAATACTTGTAATTGATTGATTACTGGCTTTTCCAGGGCATCTCTTCTAGAAGGTGCAGTTTTGACACAAGAAAATTGTTCTAGAATTTTTTTCCAATCATCGTTTAGTGAAGCCAAATGTTGTGTGTCTATTTGTGATCTTTTGCTGTATAAGAAATCATTCCAACCCTTGGTGACTTGGAAAATCTGAAGGCTCCTGACTGTAGGTTGCCTGGGCTCAGCCAGGTTGTTCTGATGTTCTCCCGCAGGGTTTTCAGGACAGTCGTGTTTACTTAGAAGCTGGGTTTGATGAAGTGTTTGGGATGACCTCTCTTCTGTTAGGGTCCTTACCTCATGTTGTCTCACCATTTAGTTCAGACCAAGTCTCTCACATGGCAGCTAGAGCCCATGGTGGGGGCCTGGAGCCATGCCAGAAGCACCCTTGCTGCCCACTCTTGACCCAGGCAAGCCACAAGGACGGCTCCCGTTCAAGCAGCGAGGTGTTCCTCCACCTTCCCTTGCCTTTGCAAGTCTGTCAGTTATCGGCTTTTTTAGAGTATGTGGTAAGACCTGTTACCAGAGTCTAGCCTGTTTGACAGTTGCCAAATATGATCTACAGAGCAATGAACTGTACCTCTCCCACCACACAGAACTATACTTCAGAGAGCAATGTTTTGCCTTTGTCTTACTGAAGCGGTCGGTGGGGCCTCTCTCCTCTATCCACCTGGCTTCTTGTCCCAACCTCCTCCAAGAATGGAGTGGGAGGTGCTTTATTGTCAGCGAGGGATTTACAAGCTTGAGTGGGATACAATAACATTAGACAGATTGCCGTGCTGATTTCAATAGGACAAGTCTGAACCGTTGGTAGCAACAGGATGCTGACTAAGGGCCATGAACCTTCAAGAGCTATGGCAGCTCTAGGAAATGTTACCATGCAAAAGGTCTTAGGGGACTTGGGGAGCCAGGCAAAAGTGGTTCCTTACAGAGCAAGTCTTCAAGTCACCGACAGATACAGCAGGAGCAGTGTGGGTCTTTTTTTTTTTGTGTACACATTGGTTTTATTGTAACAAAGCAACTTGTACACTTCAACATTTAAAATGAGCATCTTTTCCTTCCAGTGAAAACCAAAAAAATTAAAATAAAAAAAAATAAAAATAAAGTTACAACAGAGAATGTGAACTCCAAATAAACCCCTACAGGTTCTGCTGATTCTCCCATTGAGTGGTAGGGCTCGAGTCATCGTTAGGAGAGAATTTTATTTTAAAAGTGTCATCTTAAACTGCAAGGATGTCTGTTAAACATCACAATTAAACATGCCAAAGGAGAAGCCATGTTGTCACAATGCCCACTTACCCCCCCCAGACACCTCAAACCCACCCTTGCTGACCTTCTATACCCCCCCTTTTTTTCTTTTTTTTTCTTTTTATTAAACAAGAGAAAGTAGACAGATACATGTTGGTAAATGCTAACTGTCTGTATTCACATAGACACAGTGTAATCTCTGAGCCCAATATACAGAGAAAGGAAAAAAGCTAGAATTCTATGCACTACTACACAGGGGCCTAGCACCCCCCAGCCTCCAGCAGAGCCAAAGGGGCTGGAGGGCTTTTCTTTTTTCCCACAGAGCACGGTGGTGGTGGTGGTGTTGAATCCACAGTTCGAGACAAGAAAAGATAAAAATGAATGTAGAACAGAGTAGTGGAGATTCTTTTCATTGTATTTTGCTCAAGACATTCCCAAAATAAGTTGAGAACCATGGTGTTGAGAAGCGAGACCTCAAAAACAGGGCGACTGAACACAGGAGGGATTGGGGAGGGGAGGGAAATGACTGCAACTTGCTCCCAGGGACTGGAGAAATTTAAAAAAGAAAAAGAAAATAAAAAAGAGGTTCGGAATCCATCAGTCTTCTGTGCCAGTCATCCTCGCCTTCATCCCCCTCTTCATCATCTTCATCTTCTTCACCTTCATCTCCTTCTTCATCAATATCTTCCAAGCCTTCTTCTTCTTCATCATCATCGTCATCATCTTCTGCCTCTCCTTCTTCATCGTCCATATCAGGAACCAAATAGTACTGCAAGGGGTTTGGCCAGATGTCATCTTTGATGACCTCTCCTAACTCATCTGCACCTGCATCAGAGTGGTCAGTAAACCGGGTAAGGAAGCTCTCTGGCTCTTCGTGTTGTCTCTTCCTGCTGGCCTTATTCTGTGTTTGACTTGAGCGTTTTGTCAAATCCTTTCCAGATTTCCATTTGATTTCAGTGGACTTTGAGGATGGGTCACCACTCTCATTCAGATGAAATTCTTTGGAGAGAACTTTATTTTCGAAGTAGGGGTTTTCATCAAAATAAAAATCTATTCTGTAACCTGATTTAATGTCTTCAAATTCTGTTACTTCAACTCTGGTTAAATAATGCAGAGCCTCTTCGTCTTCCTCCCCAAGCAGTGCAGACACTTGTGGATGGTTGACAAATGTGGTTACCCAAAAATTTGGGATTTTAGCGATCAATTCTGACCTCTTCTGAAAAAACGATTGGCGGAGTTTGTTATATTTTTGTTCTACTTTTAGTATTTCCTCACTGGCTTGTTCATTAAGTCTGTCTATTTCATTTTGTACTTCGTCAATGTGTTCAATTGCTTCTTGCTGTTCTTTTTCTCCCTTCGGCAGGCCGGGAGAGGCCGACTTGTCCTCCAGTTTCGGGGAAGGAGCCGATTTGGGTTTCTTGGACTGAGGCAGAAGCGCAGATTGCCGTTTCGGGGCCATGGCACGAGGGAAGTGGCTAGAAGCAGAGGCCAGAGGCCAGATGCACACAGCAGGAAGAAACTCGCAGGAACTCTCAGTGTGGGTCTTGAAACTTGAGTTTCTGGCCCCTGGAGCAAGGTGAGGCTAGAAGAAGCTGTAGGCAGTCAAAGTGCAGGGTCTTGGAGTTCGAGGCATGAAGTGAGTCCTGCTTGCTGCTGCTCGTCCAGTCCTGGAGGCCAGCTTGAGTGAGCTCCTTGCCCAGGGCAGAAGTCTTAGGAACAGGAAACTCATGAGGAGTCTATCGCTAGAGAGTCTTGAAGGCAAATCTTCTTTCTCTGGTGAGGGACCAGGCCAGAACTAGATCCTGAAGTCTTCAGGCGTCCGGCTGTCTTCTGGGCGCTGCGCTCTGATGCCTTCCTTCTTTTCATCCTTCCTAGGCTCCTGCACACTTCAGTCTGTGAAACTGCAGCCTACTGGCTTTTGTAAGGGTGCATAGGTGGCAGCTGGACTCTGATTGGCTGGATATGAGCTTGAAAATAAGGTGGGAAAAATAGGCTCAATCAGGGAAGAACTGTCAAACCTGGGGGAGGAGGCAGAGGAACAATGAGCCCCAAAAAAGTAGCTATAAGTTCACAATGACGTCTCCAGGTTTGGGACCCCAGAGAAGTAAGTTTCTGTCCCTGGACGGTGGTGGTGAATGCCTTTGATCCCAGCACTTGGAAGGCAGAGGCAGGCTGATCTCTGTGAGCTCAAGGCCAGCCTGGTCTTCAGAGTGAGTTCCAGAACAGCCAGAACTGTTACAGAAACCCTGTCTAGAAAAAAAAAATGAAAGAAAGAAGGGAAGGGAGGGATGGAGGGAGGGAGGGAGAAAGGAAGGAAGGAAGGAAGGAAGGAAGGAAGGAAGGAAGGAAGGAAG